TGCTGCCCTGCCACGTCACACCTTTGCGCCCTAGCCCTCTTTCGCATATTGAAATAGGGCATCAGAAAGGCTGTCATCACAAATAAAATGCTTTCACTATTACATCCTACGGTGCATTTAATTTGTGTTGACAAGGCATTGCTTTGAATTATTACAAAACACCAGTCTGTGTCTTACGAAAAAATGTGTTCTGCATTTCAAAGCAAGGCCTGTGCCTTGTAAGCTACGAGGCTGGTTCTTTGAATAAATAGTGCTTCTGTAGCTTTCAAAGAAAATCCTTTTTAATCCTTTGTACACTTTTTACTGTGTATCCCTATCTGATATCTGTTTTGAAAAGTTCAATCGTGAAACCGTGTACTTTACCTGCGTTAGTAGAGACAATACGAGGAGTACGCGTATTTGGTGCTTAAACAACACGTCCTGATCGGATAACCGTTGGCAAACATGGAGGTAATCACACCCGTCGTGTACCTGCTCGTATTTTCCCTTCTTTTTCTCGGCAACGCGCAGCACATCTCTCTCCCTCTACATGTCTCTCACTCTGGCGTTCTGCCCAGCCAGCTTCCGAAACACGGACGCACTCGTCCGTTAGAAATGATCGATGATTGCCCGGGCGGTAGAGCATCAGCAGCGCCAGCACTCATCTGCATCAGAGCAGTTAAACAGCCCCGTGTGCGCTCAGCATGGCGGCATTACACGCGCACGCACTGTTAAAAATTTTGTTGTAAATTTACAACACATTTGATGTAAAGTTTGATAGCAACAAATGTTGTTAAAAAACAACACATGTTGTAATCCAACAACATTCACCAAATTTTCTGAAACAAATTTTCATTCCAAAACAGTGGTTATTTACTTCCACCTGCACCAAAAAATTGTAATAAAACAAACTTGTTCGTTCTGTAACGCTACATCTTGCTATCAAAATTTACAGCGGTTTTGTTGTGGTTTTACAACATGGTGAAACGTTGTTATGGTCCAAACGTTGTTATGGACCACAACGGGCAAAATAGAAGGAATTTTTCCACGTGCCAATAAAAACGAACGATGTTGTTTTTTAACAAACTAGTCATTACAAAGAGTGTGATAATTTGACAATATTTTTTAACAGTGCGCTGTTTGAGTGAGTGAGGGCAGGAGGGAGAGGGAGGCAGAGGCTGTGAGCGAGTACACTGCAAGGAAAGGAGTGAGCGAATAATTTTACCGCTCGTTTGGAGTAACTTTCGCGACATTTTTGGTTACGAAGAAGACTCATATTGAGTCATTTTCGCAAACGTCGCTCGTTTACCCGTACAGAAAAAAGTAGCCTCAGGATGGCTCCGTCGTAGCCATTCTCAACACATCGCGGAGGCTCGCTGTGATCAGTCTCCAGCTTTTGTGTAGCTGAGGCGTAGCCATCGCGAATGGCTCCGCAATAGGTAACTTAATGACGGAAAGAGCCATTCCGCAGCCGCCTTGGAGCCAAACATAGGCCGGCACCTGGACCACGGGGAGCCATTTCAGAGC